AGAGACCGCTTTGTACACATAAGAGTACCTAGGAGGATTGTATCAACTAGGTGGTGTAAATACGAAGTGTGTTGGGATGAATTTGATTCTTCTGGCTTTGGATAATGTGCAGGGACAGACTGTTACGAGCACGATAATGAACATACTTCCATAAAAGGAAGGGGATTTCTTGACCAGCTTAGCGACTGTTATCTTCTCAAAGACTGTCCCCTGAAAATGGGTGGTAGTATGTTCCGATACGCAGAGGACCTCATGGCGGTACAACCTATACGACCAGCATCGACATCACCGCACAGAGAACATAAAATGTCATTAGTAAAGTAGGCCTACCTTTGTAGTGGTATTTTATATTCATTTGGTCACTGATCTTAATGGTGTCTTGTTTATACATAAGAGTTGTTTTCTTGTTGTTTAAACCCGTGGATTTCCGTCTTGTCTCAGACTCTGGCTGCGACAGAGCGGTCTAGCGGACCATGTATATGTAGAGAAGCCTCAGACAGGGCGAGCAAGCAAGCGAGGGAACAAAGCGCTCTGCGGTCGACCTTGAAGCACTCTGCTCGCATGCAGGTGTTGGTCTCGTTTCTGTACTCCTCGTTAACAAATGATAATTGATCGTATACCTACCAGAATCCAAATCGATACACCGGTTCCATCTGGTGGCCAGATTTTAAACTTCTTGGTATTCTAACAAGTACTTACGAGTAATGTACTTTGTGTTCCATCCTGCAGGTCGGAACATTAGCAGTTCTTGGTTTTACGGCTGCGACGTCGGGAAACAAGAAAATCAGACCCTTTTTTTAAAATCTCTCAGGATGATGCAATATTAATCAGATATCTAAGGCCTCGCTGTGTAATCTTGTGGGTGTTGAACATCGTATGATGGGATATTTTCCTCTGTATAGATTCTAATCACGTGCAAGCCACACGGCGTCAGGAACCATAAGACAACCATTTTATTTATTCAAAACTATTGTATGTAATGCAATGATGTGATTATTCTGGAATTCATTAGCTCATTTAATCATTACGTGTTTATAATTATTTTGAGAACTTCACCACCACTTCTGACGCTTGGATGACGGAGTAACGTAGAGCTTTCAACAATTCCGTGTATTCCTAGACTTTGGGGCTTTTGTGTTTTGTTTTTTCGGGCGCTAGATGGACCTGGTGGCACAAGACCACAATCGACGAGTGTTGTTAGTGTAATGTGTAATCTGAATATATGTAGGCTACAGCTGAAGGATGTGAATTGGACTGCAGTAACTTGAATTAGAGTGCGTGAAGCCAGAGTATGTCAGAAGCCCCATACAGCTCGCCACTGTCTCATAAATCTTGTGTCCCGAGATTAAAGGTCACCGATAAAGATTGTGAAACAAAATGCGGAAAATGAATTTATGGTACGTTTTCATGTCTGGATCACAGGTCAGGTTATAAATTTATTGTCGTTTGTTACACGTATTGTGGAGTGCTTTGGTTAATTAAGTATGGTATACTGAGTCAAATTGAATTTGAGGTAGCAGGCTCGAATCCTGTATGGGTGCGAAACATGGTCTCTCACTCAGAGGGAGGAACACAGATTGCAGGTGTTTGAGAAGAGGGTGTTGAGGAGGATATTTGGGCCTAAGAGAGAAGACGTTGGGGCGTGGAGAAAACTGCATAATGATGAGCTTAAAAATCTGTACTCCTCCCCCAATATTTCAGGGTGATTAAGCCGAGAAGAATGAGATGGGCGGGACATGTAGCGCGCATGGATGGGACAAGAGGTGTGCAACGGGTACTGGTTGGGAAACCTGAAGGGAAGAGACCGCTGGGGAGACCTAGACGTAGATGGGAGGATAATGTCAAGCGGGATCTATGGGAGATAGGAGATGAAGGAAACTGGATTTTGTTGGCCCAGGACAGGGTCGGGTAGAGGGCTTTGGTTAATTCGGTGATGAACCTTCGGATTCGGTAAGCCATCTAGTGAGTTAGTTTTCCAAGTGGGCTCTTTCCTGCAGATTTTTCGAGTAAAATTCTGTGTGCATTTATCATGTCTCCCATGCGTGTTGCATGATTCTAAATTTGTGTTTAGTTAGATCATGAAAACAGGCCTGTTGGACTCGCCACCAGTTCAGTGTCTGTAACAAAGGTTGTTGGGAGAGACGGCACATAAAACTCGTTTTGGGACCTCTAACCTGCAGTGCCGGCCTGTCCATCTGGATTGAATTATGAGGGCTGTAAACTAAAGGCTTCCCGCTGAGGAGCCAAGCCCAGAACCACCAACTTGACAGAGGGAGGGTCGCCACATTGCCGAGACCTTCAGCATTTTAAAGCTTCTATTCTCTAAAACTCGGGTTTCCTAAGAACGTTAAAAATGAAATACACAAGATAGAGGAACAGTGTCTGTCAACCTTTTCATTACAAAGTAAAGTTGAAAGTTATCTGGAAAGAAAGTGTTTGTCTTCCCCAAAATTTCCAACCGTCTGAGGTCCACTCAGCCAGTTGGGTACTGGGCCCCCGTCCTCGGGGTTAAAGTGGCCGGAACGTGGAGATAAACGCTAACACCATCTAATATCATGGTCAATAATGCGCGGATTCAAATATCCACTTCCTCAATGTCTGTATGATCTGATGTTTAATTAAGTACCAAGTACAGTTTAACCTCTAAACGCAGTTAAAACTGTTGGTTTATATTACGTGTAAAGTAGCTTCATGTTCCGTAAGAGTGGAGGGAAGAATCGATATCATTCACAAATCTGTGTCCTTAAAAAGAGTGTATGTTAATTACGCACTGCTTAAGTTATGAATAATAAAATCTAGGACGATATGATGAGTTGGACATGTAGCACGGAAAGGATACCTTCTGCCATGAAATAGAAGTAGGCCGCTTCAAACACAAGTTGTAACTTGAGGTTCTCATGGTTTGATCATTTGATAGTTCACGCCATTTGACGGTGACGTGTATCATGAAAAATAAACGTCATAGGACATATATTGTTAAATATGTATATGATAACTATATTTTCTAACGTCTGTGTGTTTTATCGACATCTCGTAAAAAAAGACATCAATTATTTAGAGGTAGTATTTAAAAGTTATACCAGGCATTCTAAGTAAATGTTCACCGTAATACTGTAGTCTACATTGGTTTAATTAATTTAATATGTCAGCGGATTATATTTATATATACATAAATTACTGATTTATTTATTACCGCCATTCTAAGGACCCAGTAATACATTATATACGCATTTTTGTAATGTATACAATATGTATATTGATGTCGAAATCTTTTTAGCTCACTTCTGATTTGTTTATTCCATTCCAATAAAAATATGATTTTTATATTGTCCTGTTGATACATAAGAATCCACCTTAATAATCAATAAACATTTGCATTGTACACTGCAAAATGTTGAAGTCGTCCTGTTGTTGAACAGAGGCTCCGTCGATATGCAATATAGATACAGTCCACGACTGTAATCTTGAGACTTGCGGGGTGAAGGAGGAAGGCGGAAAGATAGCGTCTGCCTTTAACGCTTCGGACTTCCTGCAGTCCTTGCAAGTCTCAAGATTACAGTCGTGGACTGTAGACAAGCTATGCTACGTGTACAGCATAAACTTTATTTTATTAAACTGATGGGCCATGCAACGTAAGTAAAAAGCGCTGATGAACAGAGCTGTGCTATCAATACTAGTCTCGAAGCTGATAAGTTGGTGCTTGATACAATGTTACATTACAGAAACAATAAATTTAAAGTATATACAGCACAAGCCACGTTGTATTTTAGCCTAAAATTCGTAGTTCGTTCGAAAAGCATGGCATAGGCCGTTATCTTCATGGATTAATCAACTTATCGTAAAGGCCCTGTTCGAGAATCTCGGTTATGCATATAATTCATTGTTCTGTTGATACAGGCATTTGGCTTTTAGTAAGGAAACTGTGGAAGGCAGACAAAGTACACAGGGCTTCTTTCTAAGCGAGCTGAATCTCTTTTGCGCATGTATGAATTTGTTGAAAATACTCTACATGCCTTACAGTGGGGTTAGAATAGCAAAGTTCTTTATTTGCAGGAAGAAGAGGGTTGCTTGTCAACACCCTTTCGGTAGATCCTCTCGTAGCATGCCGTAGCTTAAACTTGAATTCAGAGGAATGCAGAAATAAATTAATTCTATGCTAAAGAATATAGTTTTATGTTGGTATGATTTAACGGTTAAAATAATAGCTGTCACATAACTGATACATTTGAAGGCACAATTCACATTTATTCGCTGTGTTTGCAACATATTTTACAGGTTCAGAGTAGATTATGTGTATTTAGTCCATATGCTATGCGAATTCGATATAAAATTATAATAAATTGACATTTTGCTTTATTTTATCACTAACTATATGTAGTTCTTACACATAGTTTCATTTGTGTGTTTCAGATGCTAGGATATCGTTCTTACAAACTCAGTAAGCTTTTGCCTCAGTTCTTGGAACATTAAACTCTCAGTGGGATTCTTGCGTCTTTGATTCAGTTTCTAGATAAAGCATGAGGATTATGTTAAATTTGTATCTTACCGGTGACTTATTGGTCCTCTTGTCGAAAGTATTAGTTTAATATTTGTACACTGGTTTACCGACAGCCAGAAAGTAGTGTGTGATGCTCAGTTGTTAGATTACAAGATTATATCTTCCCTGGCTCACGTTAAAGGACATCGATCTGGCGACTTCAGTTCCGCTGGTAATATAAGGATCTGTTAAAAATACATTTCCATTGTCTGAGACACAGATTTAACACTACGTTGCATCCGTTGGCCAGTTGCCGGTAAGGAAGTGTTCTTCTTAAGCTTTAAAGACGAGGTGTTTTTGGTTGGACTGAATGGCCTTGGTGTAGACTCTAATCCTCGTCAGATACCTCGTGTATATCCGCGGGCAGTCTTTTTGCCCCAGGCAAGCCTTGAC